ACTTTCAGCCCAACCAAAAGTGAGTTGTCTTAACTCTGGGTATAAAGGGACTCTAGTGCGAGTGTCTCCGCCTTGCGCAAGGGAGCTTGTATATCAAAATGTTTTCCTAGTGATAATAATATGTAGTTGATCTTCCACAATCAGTTGAAATTTCAGTGATTTTCCCAGATACTTCAAGTAAGTAATAAATTCAGTCATTGATCACTGAATTGTAAGCCATCCATTCAATCCATCACGTAGATGTCAATCTCGTGAACGTACCTACTCAATCCATTCCCAAGAGTTGATGTGAGGAAATGAGTTAGCCCTGAGGACACTTTGGTCCTGCTTGCATGATATGCTTTATTTATAGATGAAACATTGTCGTTCTATTCATTACGTACCGTTAGCAATAAATCAGCAGTCCTAACATATAGCTATCCACTTGACCTTACCTTATGATTCATACTTATTTACTCAATGATGGCTTCTAATTTTGGTACAAGTTGAGGTATCTTATGCACCTATAGGTTCATGAAAACCATGAAGTGCAATAACTGCCTAGTTACCGGAGAGGGCAGTTAATATCCTAATTTTTGAGTTCAACCGTTTTGCTACATTCCTCCAATCTCCCTTAATGAATTGAATGATTCTGCTATAATAGCCGAATTCGCCCTACTTGTAAATTACAAATGTTATCGGTGAATAACATGTGCACTGAAGTAGGCGCCATATCCAACAATTAGCCGCAAGTCCACACTACACTGCTGCAGAGCTTTTTCACTGCTGTCTTGTGCCAAATACTACCTTTCTCTTTCAATTTCTTTCTGTAGAATTTGTTCGTTATTCATTGAGAATGTAACCAAGCAAACATGGAAAAAAGGAGACGTGGGCTATGTCTCTGAACAAGATACTTATAAGTAAGTCTATATTAAGTCCAAGATAAAATTCTTTGACTCTTAATTTTTACAGAAGATCAATCGTAGATTTTTTGAATTATTGCAAATTTTTCAAAAATTGGAGGATCTAATCAGTATAATTTTCCTCATTATTAGTGGAAGGTCCTGCTTCTCAAACTTCATTCTGGGCCTTTCTCTTCTGTCTGTATGGAGCACCCAGATTGGGACAGTTGTATTTATTATTCTAAGGATATTCGAAACGGAGTTGTCACCAACCTTCACTCACAAATAGATGTAGGATAGGCTGGCCGCAATCAGAATTATAATTTAGTTGTATCAATAGGTAATTGACCCAGAATTTAATGTAGAGAGGCTCTGATATATCAAACGGAAATGGAGGCGTAATTTAGCAGTCAGGTGTTTTATGAAGGGGAAGGGGTGGGAGACTCTATCTACCACTTTTATGGGGTCATTATTTTGGACAAAATGGGCTGAGTTTGGACTCAATGGTGTTGGTTTAGGTTAACCCATTGACTTACAATGACGGCTCCCAGCCGTCATCGCAGCGCTGGGCCAGCTCTGCAATGACGGCCCAGAGCCGTCCGCTGATTGATCGCGTTATTTCGGCAATTCTCCGGTAGATTGCGTTCTCATCAATGTTTATATGAGTAGTGTGGCCACCCTATGACTTATTGTGTACGGTAATTTCTTGTTTTGTTGCGGTATTTTCATATTACTGTGCGTTTGCACATAAAATAACCTCAAAATTTTCTGATTTTTGCGATTTTGACAACTATAAACCACATAAAAAAATCATTGTGTTCAAAGTTTTCACCATTTTTCTCAAACGTTGTATTGTGAATGCTTATTTTGTCAATTTTCACCCTTTGAGAAATAATCTCTGGATTATTTTGAAGTGTTCAAAGTTGCTGATTTTCGCCAAATTAAATCGTAATTCCTGGCCCGGCAGGGTCAAATTAAATCATAAGTCAATGGGTTAAAACTGTCCGGTCTTTCTGGTCTCAATAGTTTAAATCTAAAGTTTTGACGGAAAACTCATCTTAAATACTCAGGAGCCTCCCTTAAACCTTCGAAAGACGCCAAGAGGGCTTTGGGGTCAATGTTCATTCCTGCAATTCCAGGTATTTATCCTACATTGAATAACCAAGAAAAATCCTGTGATGGGTGGTCTGGATCACAAGGTATAAATATCTGAAGAAGTACAGGTATATGTGCGGTCGGAAGAAAGAAAGAAGAAATCAAACTTAAAATCACAGAATCCATTACTGTACATTTCCCGATATTCATATAATAAGTGATAATGATTATTTTTCAGTATTTTATTCCCTGCAGCAAGTGATCCCTTTGCCAATTTTTTAAAAAAAATTTGGGCCTTCCAGAACCCACAAGAAGACAGCTTCTACAGAGGTCTATTTGATTCACATCAAGAAACTTTGGACCACACTCTGTTCAAAATCCTGGTGGGGAACTGCATGACCACCTGTTTCAAGTATTACCTACTGCAACTGTAATCGATTCTCTACTAATAACAGCATACTCTAGATTTCTATTCACTTCAATCTGCTGAAGTTATCCTGGCAGTTTGAAGGCCTCAAGTTGCAAACTGTAATACTCATTAATATTTCTTGAGCTAATTTCTTCAATTGAATCGATGTATGCGAGAATGTCTGATGTCCATTTTTTTGGATTTCGACTTTTTTGGCCCACATCTTCGAGGGCAGGCGCATCTGCGTGTAGACGGATTTGATCTGTTTTGGGGTTTTTCACCCTCATGTAGGAGGCCGAACCTCAAAAGTATTCAAAAACGTCCATTTATAGTCCAGTCATCCTGGATTTTCATGAGGTTTAGAGAGCAGAACTTTTATAGTCCAGTCATTCCGGATTTTCATGTGGTTTAGAGAGCAGAACTTTTTTTCTCACCTGGGTTCTCATCTTCAGAGGGTCCTAAACGAGAATCCAAATTTTCCCCCTCGACAAATTATGGGAACCCCTCCAACCCCCCAGCCCTGTATCGGGGCGAATCTCCCCCATCTCGACACAAAGCGCAAAGACAGGTGTTCAAGGCCTCACAGGAGGAAACCTCAGAATAAAAGATCCGCCGTCGTTACTTCACAGTGCTGGATAAACTGCAGTGGGATGCCTGGATTGGGGTGCCATAGAAAAAAGAGAATAGAAGGGAGTGAACTCGAAATTGAGGGAGAAAAATTTAGAGAATCAAAGGAAAAGGAAAATTGAGCAGAGCTCAGTTTGATGCTGCTCAGACCGCGTACCACTACTTTGCTCTAATTTTGAAGAATTCGGAAACGTTCTTCCAAAATTTACAAGGATTTATTGAACGATAGATTTAGGATGAGATTTGTCTAAATTTTTCCACACATATAGTAGTTCTCACTTATTTTCTAAAATTTCCTGCCCGAAACTCTAGGGAATATACACATGGTAAATATACGTCTCAATAAAATAAACTAAATCGTCTCAAAATGCTAGGGTCTGGGCTTGCCTTATCAGAACCCACAGAAAGGTGCGCCTCAGCCCGGGCACCTCTATTCGTAGTTTCCTCGTAGGAGGGCCCTCTCCTCTATGGCCATGCTCAAGAGGGAGATGCACCTCAGCCCGGGCACCTCGATGTATTTGTCCGAAGCCATAGTGGTCCAAAGTTAGAGAACTTTTTCCATAGGATTTTCAGTGCGCCTACCGCCGAATTTCTCCAACCGCAAATTCCTGCTAAACACGTACGGAAATGCAAACTCACCGCGCTGCATCTCGACCCTCGTACTCGTTTCGTAGCGTAACTGTCTGCTAGATCGGAATGTCTTCTTCGATCTATGGGTCTGATAGGGAGCCCACCAATTTACAAGTTTCAGAAAAAAGCATGTACTCGAGTTCCGTTCATTTTTGTAAGCATACAAAATTTACATCGTTGGCTTTGCCTTGACTTCTTTTATCGATCTGTACAGTTAAAATTAAAATATAATTTTTTTTTAAAATTTCAAAATAATGAAAGATATTTCAAAATGCTTAGAATCGCCGCAGCGCTTCCTATTGGCGCGTCGCGATACTCGTACGGACGCCGAGCGTCAGCTGATTTCTTCCTTGGCTCGCCAGCGCAGGCGCGGCGATGCCAAGCGGGCTCGCTCCTCAGTTTTCTTTTCCGATTATCTATAACGTTAAACTTAAAAACGGGGGAAAAATTTTCCCGTTACAAGCCCTCCTCCTAGAATTTAAAAACGGTCAAAAATAAGTTATTTTCTCTAGTTTTTCGGCTAATATCGCAAAAACCGTCGCTCTTATGACTGGATACATTGATCTTACTTGAAAGCAGATAAAATTGCGGTCATTTTTAACGCGGTCTGTAATTTTTCTCATGAAAATTGTGCTCACTTCAGGGTCCTCAAAAAAATTTTGACACGAGAAAAACGATTTTGACGTAAGATTTTCAAAAAAACCAAAATTTCCAAAATGGCCGCCGGTTAAAGTTTAAAATGGCCGAAAATTGTCACCTCGGTTTATTCCTGATGGATTTGCCTAAAACTTGGAATTTGAGAGTATTTTGGCATAAGATAAACAAATTTGAACTTAGATTTCTAAAAAAATCAATTTTTGGTCATTTTGAACTTTAACCGGCGGCCATTTTGGAAATTTCGGTTTTTTTGAAAATCTAACGTCAAATTCGTTTTTATTGTGTCAAAATTTTTACCACAACCACATACCGATTTTCGCGTAAATCCATCGACAAATAACCGGTGTGAATTTTCGGCCATTTTGAACTTTAACCGGCCGCCATTTTGAAACGGTTTGAGATATTGACTTCGGGTTTGCGCGAAAAGTTTTCTTTTTTTATGCTCTTTCGAACGAGCTATCACAAAGGGGGTCTTCCCATTTGAAAATTAAAAGTTGGGGGCCGTTGCCCCCCAAGGGGGGCCCTCCTGAAAAGTTTAGGGGGGGCAAAAAGTAGCTCCCTTTGACCTAGGAATATCCCCCAAGTTTCAAATCTTTACCTCAATTAGGTAAAAAGTTAGAGGGGGTGGAAGGGACTTTTGGATCACCCTGTATTTGATGGATGGGGATAGGTATCCTAAGAATGCAATCGTGCGAAATTCAAAACACGTTGAAAAATAATGCAGAAAGAACGAAAGAAAATGTGTTCAGATATACTTTTCAATAAAAGTATGTGCCAACCATTTCTCAATAAATTTTTTTAGCCAATAGTAGAAACAAAAATCCATCAGTAGGAATGATGAAAAGTTATCTGGAAGCTGGAGCCATCCAAGCCAGGGG